AAAAATCAAAAGTCACCATTCTGCTGAATTCTGCACTTCTTCTAAAGAATTTGTTCAAAAATTTTGGCAAATTATAAAACAGAATGATGGTCATCGAGAAAACAAACAAGAAGAGTCTAGAATTCATTCAATATTCTGTGATAATATAGCACAATATTTGTACAAAAAATATTTGACTACATAAATTGGAAAGTTATCTACAGAACTTTAAATTCATAAGAACAAGAACAAGTGGGATTAATTAAAAAGTTATCCATGTCCTTATTAAAACAGTTTTTCGATTAAATTAAAGCATCACACTGTCATTTGATGCACTGATCGCTTATAACATATATAAAAAAATCAATTGAATCAAACAACAGTGGTTGAAAAATTCGAGAGATCAGCATGAACAAATCTTATGCAACATAATCTAATGGTCGATTAAAGCCACCTTTCCTGTTCATATACTGTCGATATCGCCGCGGTTTATTAATTGAAACAACACCATCAACGTTACCTGGCACCTAGAATTACTGTCTAAAACTAAAAATTTAAAAAGAAATTTCAACGCAGTTAACACTTCTTTAGTGCATTTGATACCAACAGTATTTATAATGCTGCGGTTTAAAATGGTGAGTATCCAAGAAAGTTATAAATTATATTATATCTGGACTTATATTTTAATTCATTTTTCCGATATTTCCCCTCCCCCCCCCTCTCTCACTAATCAATAATCGTCAAAAAATTTGGTGAACTGTAATTAAAAAATAACATATACCTTTTTATTCTTAGTGGTGTCAAAACCTGCAAAACCCATCAATTTGAGCATATCCTTGTCAAGTCCTTTCAAAGAATCAACGGCAACTAAAAACATCAACAAGAGCAAAAGAGAAGAAAAATTCTTTCAAATAATTAAAGAAAGTCATATCAGTGGGAAACTTATTATAAAATCTGACAGACTCCAGTTAATAATATGGAATCTTTTTCGATTAATTGACGCTATACATGGCGTGTAACAACGTCATCGTCAAGTGGACCGATGAAATAATGGTCGGATCACTTTCCCTGACGTGATCCAAAACAGCTCAGATTGTACACATATAACATTCTCTATTTGATACATACTTACCATCTTTCGCTTGTTTTTCTCTTTCCCTGTCCCTAAAAAGAAGAACAGTAGAATTTCTTCGAATTTCATTTCAACCAAAACTGAGAATAATGGGACAAGATCTGAATTATTAAGAATAACAAATTAGTATAACTTAATAGGAAAATAAAACACTAATGACTTTGCATATCAAGCAAAAATTCCCAGTTTTTGAAGTCTCTACAATATATTCAACTGAACGATGAAGTAAAAGTTTAAGACAAACTACATCTTACTTTCTACCACATTCTATTGATAAAGCCAAAATGAATTCAGAACTCTATAAAAATTTGACTAGACAACCTTCGTGATCTCTCTTCATTGTCATATCGTTTTCTTTCATCCAGTCGCTCACGACTTCTACTCCGACTTCTTCTACGATCTAAAGGACTTCGTGATCGACGACGTTCCTATAAGAGGAATACAATAATTACAATTTGGATGATCTGCAAACCAATCTTTGAAAATTCTAAAATAAACATTAAAATTTTTCTTTTCTGAACAAACTCAGGTGTATTTTGTTGTGGAAGTGCTAAGGACTTACAAAAGAAACAAAATTTAAATTCCAAAACTTGCATACCTGGCTGCGGCGACGTGAACGATCTTTCTCGATTGTCCGTGTCCGGCCAGTAGAACGTGAGCGCGACCTACGTCGTCTTTCACGTTCTCTCTCTGCAAACATCAGTGTTTCACTGAAGACTGTGAAATTAAAAAGCTTGAAAGTAAAATATGGTTAAATTATGTCAAAGAGAAAGTTATAACCGATTACATCAACCAATCAATGAAAAAATTTAACTAATTTTTGTAGGATTAAATCAAATAAAAACTGTAATGCTAATCACATAATTTCCTCTTTAAGATGATTTTACCATATTTTACTTTCTAGCTTTTTCATTTTTCTGTATAATCTTATTTTGACAGAAATATGAAGACTATCCGAGATGAAAACTATTAGCTGGATAATAAAATATAATAGTTGATAGTTATCTTTGATATGTCTGTTCTAGAAGAGAGAAAAAAATCAATAAATTCAAAGTAAATGTTCCACCTGGGTACATCTGTATACGCTATTTCCAACTTCCGAGAATGAGTGAAGATATTTGAGGTAAACAAAGAAATGCTTACCTCTGCTTCGACTTCGTTCTCGTACCATTTCAGCTAATTGCTTAATGAATTCTAATGAATTCTTTGATAATGTAATTTAATGTCTCAAATGATCAATTCAATAGACAAAAACAAAAACGAAATCGTCATTAACAAACAAACGAATGACAAAACACCTCCATAAACTCTCGAATAACTATTCAAAATAATAGGATAAAACATTTGCATAAAGCGAATCTTTCTAGGATGTAAACTTTCTAAAGAAGCCATATTGGTGAGCGGTAGAGAATCATGATTAATCGTGGTAATGGTGGTAACAAGTCGAGAATCGTGATTAATCATGGTTATGATTATAACAATCATTTGCCGCGATAAGAAAACATTAGGAGCAGTGGTGATATGATTATGGGACGATAAATTTGATTGAGTATTAGAAGTGATGTTGTAAAAACTGTGCGTGAAAAACATGCGTTTGTATTTCTCATACATACCATTTTGTGATTTGATAGAAAAAGTAATTTTACAAAGTCGTATAAGTGAAATTTGTTTAAATGTAATTAGTTGTATATGTTATTCATTACTGCTTTTTTAATTCAGAATTGTTTTTTTTTTCTTTTTATAAAATAATTTTCTTCTGCACTTGGATAAATTAATTATTCTTTTTTGTAAAGCGCATTGAAAATTTTTAAAATTTCCAGGATTGGTACCTAATAATGAAGTTGTGGATGAAGTTTGTTGTACCAAGCTCATCCTGAAAAAAAAAGTGAAATCGTACATGGAAAAATAATGGGTTGTGTAACAAAACGGCGAAATACAGGGACAAGTCGGCGTAATGTAAGTTTTCATGGAAATTTTGTTTTAAAAGTTTTCGTATTTTATGTATATAATATTAATAACGAATATTTTAGAATCAACATATAGCTTGTAGGACTGGGGACACTGTTAACAGAATTTAATTGAGCAGAAATGTCAAAATCTTTTCGTAGGCAGTTTACGAGAACTTAATATTCGCGTATACTCAATGGAATAGCTGTTATTAATTACAGATTTTCAGTGGTGCCTAGTTTGCGGTTTTGAATGAAAATTGCATCATCAAAACTGAAAAAAAACTATTTTTTTCTTTTGTGTTTTCGATTAATAAAATATTAATTGTAAAATACGAGCATTTCAAAGTGCGAACAATTCTAACTTTGTTGTGATTTTGCTTGTGAAAACGTAAAAACTTGTTATATTTCTTGCTAACTTTACTTACTAATCTATGTTTGCATTACTTCAATTATAAAAAATAATTCTCTTTATATTTTTGGTAAACAAAGCTCAAAAGTTTGATTCATCGATTGAATTATGAATTATTTTCATATATCAGATTTCAAATGAATGTGAAATACCCGATGAAATCGACTTTGATGCGGCATGGAATGTTTATATGCTCAACAAGTCTGCGTGCCTTCTTCATTATGTTCCTAATCCAAAGTTCGACCAATTTATATGCTTTTGTTTATCTTTGCTCTATGAATAATACGAAAAATTATTTATAAAATACAGTAAATGATTTCTTTTTTTTTCTTAAAGTATTTTCAGAACCAAAAATTGCCGTGATAATCCGTATTGCTTGGGCCGCTTAGGCCTAGAAAAATGGGACAAATTGTTGGGTTGTATCAAAAATGAAAATAAAACAAACACCGATTTGGATCGACGTGATATCGCGAAGATGCCATGCGGTTTGGTGAATCTTGGAAATTCATGCTATGTGAACAGCTTTCTGCAGGTTTTCGGTTTTACATGATTAAAGATTCAAGAATGTTCAACAATTATTGTCAAGATTTAGTTTTATTTAATAAATAAAATTTTTATTGAAAAATAAAGGGAGACGAAAGAAAATTTATGAATTGTGTAGATATCAACTGCTATAATCTTTTAATTTCTAGATATTTTTCAATGATCCCGTTTTTCGCAAATGCATTTATGATTGGCGCCCTGTTGCTAATTTTGTCAAACCGGAAGGAGAAAAAATAAATATTGAAGAGTTGATGCATTGTATACAAAAATTATTTGTAACTTTACAAATTACACCATATGTAAGTTCTTAATTTTATTCCTCACCCGTCACAAATTTCATCGGAAACGAAATTTTTGGTCGAATTTTAGTATTTTGTATTGGTTTCAGAGGAAAAATTACACGAGGTTGAAGTTTGAAATCCTAGAATTTAATCCAGGAATTTTTTCAGTATATTATTAGTCGTGAAAAATATGTCTTACCCGTCATTATTACCTTTATTTTTCCTTCAATTACCATCTACAGTATTTTGTGTTTTTTTTTCAAGATATTTTTAGGAGGATACTAGCGCTGAAGGATTGGTTAAGCTGCTTCAGCTGGATGGCAATCAACATGATGCCTTAGAATTTCAAATACTTTTCTTTGGCAAACTTGAAAAATTACTAAGTTACCACGTTGAATGGCATGAAGTACGCGAAACTATTCTTAAAAGATTTCAGGTAAAATCGATGGATTTAAGTAGAGCGCATAAATTTTTTACCATTATGAAATAAATATCCATGTTAAGTTGTCCGAAGCGTTTCCTTTTAAGGAATCAAAAATTTATGAGTTCTTGCAGGGAGTTATAACGCAGACGATTTCTTGCAAATGTGGACGTCGTAGTGTTACGGAATTGCCATTCAACCCATTTTATTTAAGCATTGAAAAAGCTAGATCGTTATCAAAGGCACTGGAATATTATTTTCTTCCAGAAGAGTAAATTTATCTTTCATTTGTTTCAATCTCGTAAAATATTCTATTATTCAGTATATCTTTTCTAGCAGTAATAGCGCAAACGTAATTAATATGATAGCTTAAAGTTTTAGAACTTTAAGATATCGTCTACTTAGTTTTAACAGTTTGACACTTGTCTAAAGTTTGGGCTATTCGTGTTTTCTGGTTGATACTTAGCGGTCTTTATTTGGTTGCTCATTTAATGTTTTTTTATCTTAAATTATTTTATTTTGCTATCCTATTGGTGCTGTATTAGAATATATAAAAGTGGTGTTTTATAGGCTAAAATTAGTTGTTAAATGAAAAGGAATATGAAAAGCAACTGTAAAGACTAATTTATTATTTTAGGAAGTTACTTGATTGAAGTATATAGCTTTTTCAGATTGCCTGATTACAAATGTAGCGAATGCGGACAAACTGGTTCTGCGCAAAATCGTCTTGCGATTAAGGAACCTCCGCCTGTACTGACAATACAACTTAATCGATTTACATATGATGCGTAGGTTTAATAATTGATTTTTATTCCTGCATTTTTAGAGAAGTTTCAATATATTTAGAAAATTTGTCTTTTCTTCAGTAATTTCAATAAGAAAATTCAAAAATTTTCAAAATTATAGAGTGGGACACAAAAAGAAGATTCACTCACCGTTACAGTATCCGAGAGTTTTACAACTGGGTGATGTAAAGTATGACATTTGTGCTGTAATGATACATGAAGGTCCAAATGCTGATTGTGGACATTACTACGATCTGATAAAGCACCCAGGCACTAGGCAATGGTTCACTTATAATGATGAGGTATTTCTTTTTGCAATGTTTCATTGCGCTATTAGATGGAACGATGTCAAAAAGAACTAGTAAGTTAATGATTAAAGGCAAAAATAGTGAACAAAATTCATATTTAGGTTGTAAAACCATCTGCCACTCCTGGTGTATGTGTCGAAAAAGAACGAACATCCAAAGTTACTGCCGACATGAAAGGTTGCTACGCTTTGGTTTACCGTCGAGAAAATGAGGAAAATTCAGCTATTCCTGATGTCCCGAAAGATTTGTTGGGTGATATTGCAAGTAAGGTATGAATAAAAAATCTTAAGCTTTTTGCATTTTTGTTATTTTGTTTGTTAACAGTTTCTACCCATCGTTTTTGTGACTACTTGTTGAATTTATTCACACAGTCAGCCACATTTTAGTGCAAAATAATATAGTAGGAGGTATTATTATTTCACAGTTATTATGTCTTTCAGAATCCTGAAGAAATTCTTTTTTCGTCTATGTAGAAACTGTGATCTCAGAATCATTGTTAAAGATGTGATTTAAACGTAGAAGTTTTGAATTTACAGCTGGAAGAAGAGTTCATTGCTCAGACCAGTGCAACTACAGAAATGACTATCAGACTTAAGAACACTGTCGAAGATTATCACAAACGTCTTACGAATATATTTGATAAGTTGGAGGTCCTCTGAATTTATCCAAGAGTCAGATCCAAAACATAATTTCTCTTCCTCTCCTGACTTTTGAATTTAGTTTCGGAATTTCGTTTTCAAGGACTGAGTTTTGTTTGAAATTTGTTTTAAAAAATATAGAAAATGACGTGAGATTGGGAGGGAAATAGATATCGAGAAAATCTGGAGGGGGAAGAATGGAGAGGAAAAAAGAACAGGAATTACCAATAGTGGACGCAGTTTAGAAGTGCTGCTTTTAAGCGATTTCAAGTCGAAATATGATTTAGGGCTAAATTTTAGGTAAAGAAAAGCGAAGAAATGTTGAAAAATCCAGATGACATTGTATTTATACCTACTGACTTGTTCAGCACTGTCCTGTCGTATGAATTTAGCAAAATGATGGAAAGCAACGATGAGGTAAAGGATTTCGGAACTTCCACATCTTTTTTTTCTTTTTTTCTGTTTTGTCTTGCACTGGTTTGGCCAGAAAAAATTATTACCGAAACTCTGCTTAAAAATTATAATATGCAATTACTTTATTTGTTCTTTTGAGGATTTGGTCAATACTTGTTTAATTATTAATCCATTGTTGCTTTCTTAACTATCAGTTACATCAGAAAACATTGTTGTGTGGTGTTAACTAGATTTACAGCATTTTTTTTTGAATGCAAACTTTAGGTTTTCAAGAATGTTGCAAGTAGTATTCGAAGTGCTACGGTCATTAAATCATTGAATTGTAAAAATACAGATGAGGTTTGTTAACATTTTTAAATCAAAATGTTACAGTGATGCTTACTGCGTCACAAAGATATTTTTTTTTTTCTCGTGACATTTAAT